TATGTGATTGTAAAATAATATTATAAGACTGATCAGGTGATTTAATTCTTTTTTTTATAACTATCTATATCAATAAAATATTGTTTATTAAATATTTATTAARATAATTTATTATGATGTTATACTTGACAAGTAATCAAGGTACAATTAATTTTGTATTTTTTTATAGATAAAATATTGGTTTTTTTCTTTTAATAATATTATTTTGTTAGGTATGTTTAAAAAAATATATTATAATAATAATATTACAAATATATTGCTAAAAGTTTTAGTTTTATATTGACCAAGTAACAACTTTATTTTTCTAATATTAATTCTTATTTCCTGGTTGTTATGTTTATTCTAGTGTTAGTTATAACAGATTTTATAAAAGAAATAGATTGTGTACTGTTATTTTGCAGGTACATTAAAGGAAGGTGTATTTAATAATATATATGGTCTATATTGTTCCCTTGAGTTATGACATATTCATTAATTAAGAATTTAATTAAAAATAACTTTATAACATTAATATACATATTTGTATTAGTTAAAAATATAGTAGGATTATTATTTGACATACCTACATAATAATAATAGTGGACATATTGACTACAGTAAAATATTTTGTATGATTAGTTGGTTGCAATAGTTGAACGTATCTGGTTATTGCGACCATTAAAAATCTAATTATCATAATTTTTTAGTTTTTTGTAAATATTTTTATGGATATTAAATTCAAACCAAAGAGAACTTGTTTAATTGATGTATCTTAATCTTATAAAAAGAATAACACGTTTTTAATTTTTGGTTCATTTCCCAATTTTATACATAGATTTTTGTGTTTCCTGAACATTATAAAAAATTGACGTATCTGGTTTTTGCACCGAGGCCTTTATTTATTTATTTATAATCAGACCGGAAATGATTGTTGCCACTAAAATCAAAACGAGTACCCGCTGTAGCGTACCTACTTCCTGTGCTACGCTATTTTTCATATAGTTAATAAMATATCATATTTTCATAAACCAATATGAATGATATTTTTATAATATTTCATAATATTTCAACTTTCAAGTAAAATTATTTATATTATGCACAGATTAAAACAAATATAATATACAAATAAGGTTCAAATAGTTGTATCAATAAGTGGGTGATTAATCTATAAGAACCATGATGTGTATTTTTTTTTTTTGTGTCTGTCATCACGTTTTGGGGCAGTAAAAGTGCTTCAGTA